ATTGAATGCTTCAAATGGGGTTATATCTCCGAGAGCTCTTGTAGGACACCTATTCAGTATGTAGACATCTGTGTGTACAGATTTTGCCCACAGATAATAAGGTAACCCTTTATCATGGAGCATGGCTTTTGCCATTTCAACTATAGCTCTGTTTTTCCTTTCCACCACTCCATTTTGCTGTGGAGTATAAGCCATAGAAAATTGCCTTTGAATGCCTTCATCATCACACAGTTTGTTAAACTCACCAGATATGAATTCCCATCCTCTGTCACTTCTCAGACAGTTCACTTTAAAACCACTTTGTAATTCTACCATAGACTTGAATTTTCTAAAACAATTCAATGCATCTAACTTGTACCTAAGGAAATAAACCCACATCATGCTTGTGTAGTCATCTACAAGAAGCATAAAAGACTTGTTACCTGCAATGGACTCAGTTTGCATAGGCCCACATAAGTCAACATGAACTAACTCTAGTGGATTGCTTGCCCTCCATGCCTGATTCTTTGGAAACCACTCTCTATGTTGTTTTCCCAGTTGACATCCTTCACAGATTTCATCAACCTCTTCTAATTCTGGAAGTCCATGAACCATTTCTTTCTCTTTGAGTTGCGTTAACCCCCTTTGGTGTAGATGACCTAATCTCTTGTGCCAGATCCAGGTAGATCGAGATAAGCTTGTTTTCAATGCAACTTGATCATTAGGTAATAATGCTAATGGATAACATCTATTCCTCTTCATTTCTACTTTGATTACAAGGCAATCCAGTGAGGGACCATCAAAGATGCTGCACATTTTACCTCCAAACAACAAATAATACCCATGCTCATCCATTTGCCCCACACTTAGTAAGTTCTCCTGCAATCCAGGTAGATACATTACTTCTTTGATGTACTTTCTGCCTTTACTAGTATCAATCACTAGAGTACCCATTCCAGCCACATTCATAAGTTCTCCCGTTGGCATTTATACCTTGCCTACCACATTCCTCCTTATATCAACCAATAACTTCTTACTTCCAGTCATATGATTGTTACAACCACTGTCAATATACCATTCACCATTGACAGTAGATTCAGAGATGGTGCTGTTAGCAAAGAATAAATTCCCTGTCACCTCTACTTGATTAACACTGTTTGCCTTTGCACTGGTTTGCTTACAGGACACTCTCTAGCCCAGTGTCCAAATCTCTCTCAATTGTAACATTTAGGCTTCCCCTTAAATCTACACTCACCAAAGTGAAATTTAGAGCACACCTTACACTGTGGTTTTGTACTTGACTGATTCATAGACTGTGAGGAATATGCATTCTGAGCAGCATTTGTAGAAAATTTATGCTGGAACTTAGGTCTCGAATCCCATTTTCTACCTTTAGAATTCCAATTTTTCTGAAGCTGAGATGGACCAGATTGAGATCCACCACTATTTTGTCATTTTGGACTCACTGTGAGGGATGAGAATGCCTTCCCAGTAGTATCAATAGTGTGCAAATCAAACCGTTGTTCTCGGCTCTTTAAAATTGCAACAACTTCCTGCAATTCTACAGTCTCTAGACACTTTGTATTTTCTATAACCAAACAGATCGAATCATAAGGTTTACTTAAACTAATCAGAACCTTCTGCACAAGTCTCTCATTAGAAAGAGATTCACCAAATGTTCTCATTTGGTTAATTAGATCATTCAGCCTTGTGAGATAATTAAATAGAGACTCATCATCTCGCATTCTAACATACTCAAATTCTCATCTAAGATTCTGAAGTTTTACGGATCTAATCTGATCACCACCATGATATTCTTTATACAGCAGATCCCATGCCATTTTGGCAGAGTCGGCGTTGGCAATCCTAGGAAAGATCTGATCAGAAACTGCATTTTGTATAATATCTAGAGCCTTTGCATCCCTCATGAGCACAACAATCATTTCTTCATCACCGTCGTCTTCCGATGACTCTTCAGCTTCCTTCTTCTTCTTCTTCTTCGAATCAGGTGTTGGCAATCCCTTTTCTATCAGATTCCATAACCTGAGAGATTTGAAGATTGTTACCATCTTAATTCTCTAGAACTCATAGTTCTCGCCAGAGAAGATTGGAGTTCTCACTTCCGAGCCTCCAGATCCAGACATCTTTGCAAACCTTTCGTGAGCTTTGATTGAGCTTGGTGACCTCACAGATTTACGCCCAGATTTTAAATAGCGTAACCTGGCTCTGAGGCCATGTTAGTGTAAAATTGATATTTTGGTATGGAGTTCTAAAGAAGAAAAAGATTGAAGGATGAATGCTGCTCTCTCTATAAGTCACAGAGAAGCACATAATTGTATTAATATTTTCTCACTCACCTCTGCACACAAAACATGCAGTAGGGAATATTACAGCTAACAAAAGCTGAGCTGGATCAATTCATCAGATCAAGGGATCTCAACCATTCATCTAACTAATAACTAGGATCTAAGCCCACATGGCACTTAAGGCCTTCTACACATAAAAACAAAACATTACACTTAGCATTCTTTGCATAAGTGAGTACACCAATTAAATCAAAGCTTTATTCTAATTCATTTTCAGCTCAAATACTTATAATTCAACAAAATCATTATGGAGATTTAATGGGAAGATCGTTGGGGAAATTTTGATAACTAGCCATATTTTTGTAGAGTTCTTATCGTTGTACCACGAAATGATTTTTGGCCTATCTTTTGCAATTCTCACAAATTTAACCAGAAATCCATGCAAGAAGTAGTGTTTGATTACCAGCGAAATCTCTTTTGCGGTGTATGTGTGTGTGCAAATCTTGGAACAATTTAGTCAGCAGCTCTAGTTTCATAAACCTCCATCTCGAAAGGAATGCTGCGAAAAGTTCTTGTGATTATCTGCTTATCAGCAATTCTAAGCTAAATTGCTTGTCACTCTTTGATGCTAAAACATTTGCCTAGTGTTTGGATTTAGAGCCTCCTAAGGACAAGCCTGATTTTACCATTCATGGTTCTTGCAATGAATTACTTTGTATCTCTGGTGTTACAAAAGCTAAAAGCACGAAGGCTCCTCTGCTCCTGTATACCTTTGGAATCCATCGATTAGAAAACTCAAGAGACTTACCAAGGGCCTCATTCAGCCCAAAAGCAGTTTGGTTGCTCTCTGGTTTGGGTGTCATGGTGGGGCGAACGACTATAAGGTGGTGAGCATTCAGAGGTGGTGCAAGAAACTTGGCGTTGAGGTTTACAGCCTAATTGAACTCTTGAAGAAAAATTGTTGCAGTTCCCAATGTTTCACAAGATGTCAGTTTGTTGCAAAACAGGGGTGCATTCATGGGTGGAGTTGTATATTGGATTGTAAAGCGGAGTTCAGAAAATCGCTCATTCATCCTATCTTTTGATCTGTGTAGTGAGGTTTTTCAAAAGATTCTGTATCATGATAAATTGCATGGAGTGCTCGCCTTAATCACTCTTCAAGTGTTTGGGAAATCACTCTCTTTTTTTCCATCACAGACTAGACCTAGATGACGGAAGGTACCGGTATTGTGACATGGGTAATTTTACTTAAACTGAATTCTATGTTCTCGGTTCCTATGCATGCCTTTGGTATAATGTACTAGTAATATGTGTGATAGTAAAGTTCTCATGCTTGAGTTGGATTTTGGATCCTAATCCGCAGATCGGTACTAACGCGTTTAATGTATCCTAAGGAAACTTCATTGTTCATGTTGTATGTGAGACTTCAACTCATTTAATTAATTGATAACCCTGACTTGATTCGATTATGTTTTGGGTAAGCAATTACATCGAAACCATTTGATTCAGTTAATTACTATTAGATTTAGTTAGAATCAGTCATATGAAAGCTCCATTTATATTTCTTAGTGACTTTTTGCAATTTCCCGGAAGATAACGATTCAACAACTGCTTCTTAAAAAAATTACGGCCAACAAATTAAAATTAAGGGTTTACCACTCCAATGGTAAACAACTAGTATATAATAAACCAAGTCGCTTCCTACTCTAAATGCAACCCCGAAGACTCGAAACAATCAGCAAAGATGGTTGTGTTCCTTCTCAAACTCATCTTCTTCGCATTGAGCTTCATATCGAACTTGGTTACACGCTTGATCTTCTCTGCGATGGCTCATCTTCTCGTGTTATTGATCCAGGGATTCAGAACACCAACCCAAGGCATCCATGGCACATTGCAACTAGTCACCGAGGTTATCAGGTCATGTTCTGAGTACTTTGCGGGACTTGTAATGGAAGCAATAAGTGCTACAATCTCTACTTTCTTTGATTTTCTGAAAGGAAGTGTCACCGGTTCTGCTGGCGTTACCACTTCTGCGATTGTAGGTCTCGTGGAGAAAACGAAGACTTCTCTTGAATCGGTCGATGGGTTGCTCACTGATTATCCAGAGGTTTCGAAGGGGTTTTCGGAGATGGTTTATCGTATTGTGAATGATATGTGGAATAATTTTAAGGATGCGTTTGAATATGTAACAAAGAATGCTTGATTGTTTGTAAAGACCTCTTCAATTTATTGTAATATTTGTGCATCCTAAAGCATAAGAATGAAATTTGTACCGATTTTGAGATAGAAAAGAAGAAAATGTTAGTATATTTCCTATTTCTTCCTCTTTTCATGGACACTACTGCAAGGCTCAAGCACGTAGAAATATGCTGGAGGATTTTGATTTCGCCGTGTTGCACTGAAGGAGTGCTGCATCTAGTCGCTCGTGCACTAAAGTGATTTCTAACCATAGATGCATGTGAGTTACAAAATAGGGCCGCCTAAAGGGATTCTAACATCTAGAAATTAGTAACCTGAGAGCAGTTTTCGCAGCACCAATGTTGTCCCAACCTTCACAACTTGATGTGTGAGGATTTATGTCACACAAAATTACAAACTTAGGATATTCAATTGCTTTCTTTATTCTTCTTTATTCAATACATACTAGTGTGAAATTGCCCTTGAATCAAAACAAAATGCTCAAACCTCATCGTTGACTCATCTGACGAACCAAAGTTGTCCAACAATTGATAAATCACTTGATGGGGCTGCAAAAATTTCTGTCTCGCCAATCTCATTCTCTCTGTTTCTAGTTATGGCAGCTGTGCCGGTGGCGCCCAAACTCATGCACGCAGTTCAGTACAACTGTTATGGCGGAGGAGCTTCTGGTTTGAAGGTTTCTTAACTTTTCTGCTTCTTTAATTTGTCTGCCTTTTTTTTTCTTCCTGTTTTGATTTTTGCTTGTGGACATTCTCTAATCTGCTAAATTGCAGTTTTGAGAAGAAATCATTTCACAATCTCAACTACCAGAATCTTAAAGTTGATTTATGTTTGTTGCAGCACGTTAGCACACCAATTCCTGCTCCGAAAAGAGACGAGGTGTGTCTGAAACTGGAAGCAGCTAGTCTGAATCCATCTGATTGGAAAGTTCAAAAAGGGATTCTATGGCCTGTTTTTCCCGGAAAACTCCCTCACATACCTGGTAATTTCGTTACACCTTTTTACCCATAATCCGGTTTTGAATCATAAGCTGGTTGGTTGCTTTGTTATGTTTGGCTGATGAGATTATCTAGAACAGTTAATGATGTGGCCGGACAGATCATAGAGGTCGGACAAGGCGTCAAAAAATTCAAAGCCGGCGACAAAGTTGTGGCGTTGCTCAATCTTTTTGTAAGTCTCATTTTATCTTAGGTATAAGTTTCACATGAAATTTAATTTGTTTGTTATTGATATCATCTCTGCTGTCATATTACATGTTGAAAAAGAATGGAGGTGGACTGGCCGAGTTTTCGGTAGCTAGTGAGAGACTGACAGTTGCTAGGCCCCAAGAAGTTTCAGCAGCAGAAAGCGCTGGCTTACCTATTGCCGGCCTAACAGCTCTCCAGGCTCTCACCCAAGCTGCAAACATCAAGCTTGATGGATCTGGCCAGCAGAAGAACATACTGATTACTGCTGCCTCTGGCGGTGTAGGCCACTATGCAGTCCAGCTAGCAAAGCTCGGAAACACTCATGTCACAGCCACTTGTGGAGCACGTAACATTGAATTGGTCAAAAGCTTGGGGGCAGATGAGGTTCTTGACTACAAGACCCCTGATGGGGCATCTCTCAAGAGCCCATCTGGTAGGAAATTTGATGCTGTGATCCACTGCGCATCAGCAGGCATTCCTTGGTCAACATTTGAGCCTAATTTGAGTGCAGAAGGGAAGGTTATAGACATTAGCGTCACTCCTAGCGCCTTGCTTACTTTGGTACTAAACACAATCACCTTCTCGAAGAAGCAGCTGGTGCCGCTGCTCATGAATGCCGAGGCTGAGAACCTGGAGTATCTTGTTAAGTTGGTGAAGGAAGGAAAGCTCAAGACTGTGATTGACTCGAAGTATGCTCTAAGCAAGGCTGAAGATGCTTGGGCTAAGAGTATAGATGGGCATGCTACTGGAAAGATCATTGTGGAACCTTAATCAGAGAAATTATCTTTGGATTTCTAAATTTTAAGTACTAACTTTCGGCTTAATGTTCATTTTAAAGTGTCTTGGATTACTCGAAACGTTTAGGAATAACGAATGAGTAATTAAGAAAACAATACAGTTATTCAACAATATATAGTCTGGTTAGATTTTGCTTGATGACCAAGCCAGAGTTACAGATATATGCAGGACAAGTTCAGAATCCAATCGCCTTAATTTATGTGATTGGAAGACAATTTTCGTAGAATAAATGAAAAGATAAATCATGTTCAATTTTGTCAAATGAGATCATCATTAATAAAAAAAATGTTCCAATATAACAATTATCAGGGGTTGACTTTGAACGCACAGAAAATTTTCGAACAATTTCTCAGATTGGGTAAAAAATAATACTTCATTGATATTCATGTATAACAATAGGAAGGTTATATATACAGAGCCTAGGAAACTAGAAAGTAATTATGAGCCTATAATCTTGCAAAATCAAATAGTTGACTTAGACTAATTAGGAATGTATAGCTCATTGACACTCTCCCCCTCAAGTTGGAGCATATATGTTGTCAATGCCCAACTTGCTAAGTGAGTTGTGAAATACTCTGCCTGTGACTGATTTGGTGAGGACATCTGCAAGTTGATCTTCAGATTTAATAAATGATACCTCAATGATCTTTGCCTCGAGCTTCTCCTTGAAGAAATGTCTGTCAACTTCAACATGCTTGGTTCTATCATGTTGCATTGGATTATGTGCAATGTCTATTGCGGCTTTGTTGTCACAATTCAGTTGCATGGTATGTTTGGGTTTGAACCCCAATTCCCCCCCCCCCAACAAATTCCTTATCCAGAGTAGCTCACATACTCCGTGTGCCAAACCTCGATATTCTGCTTCAACACTTGATCTTGACACTACTTTCTGTTTTTTGCTTCGCCAAGATACTAGATTGTCTCCCACAAAGGTAAAGTATCCAGATGTAGATCGCCTGTCAGTAACAGAGCCCACCTAGTCTGCATCAGTGTGACCCTCAACATCTAGATGACCATGTTGTGTGAACATCAATCCTCTTCCAGGAGATGACTTCAAGTATCTCAGAATTCGGTTTATCGCATCCATGTGGGCTTCACTTAGTGCATGCATGAACTGACTCACCATACTTACGGCATACACTATATCAGGTCTAGTGTGTCCTAGATAGATTAACTTACCCATGAGGCGTTGATATTTTTCTTTGTTGGTGGGTATCTGATCAGGATATTCACCAAGTTGATGATTTAACTCCATTGGCGTATCTGCTGGTTTGCTGGCTAATATTCCAGTGTCAATCAAAATGTCAACGATATGTTTCCGTTGTGAGAGAAATATTCCTTGTTCTGAACGAGCCACTTTGATGCCTAAGAAATACTTCAAAGTACTAAGATCTTTCATTTCAAACTCACTTGCCAAGTGGTGCTGCAATGCTGCCTTTTCCTTTGGGTCATTCTCGGTAACTACCATGTCATCAACATATACAATAAGGGCAGTGACTTTACATTTCTTATGTTTCAAGAAAAGAGTATGATTTGAGTTACTTTGCTTGTATCCAAAATCCTTCATTGATTTGTTGAACTTTCCAAACCATGCTCTGGGTGACTGCTTCAATCCATAAATAGACTTTCTCAGTTTACACACCATGTTGCCAGTATTGGGCTCGATCTTGCATCCTGGAGAGGAATCCATATAGACTTCTTCTTCTAGGTCGCCATGCAGGAAGGCATTTTTGACATCAAACTGGTGTAATGGCCAATTTAGGTTTGCTGCCAGAGAAAGAAGTACCCGAATTGTGTTTATCTTGGCTACAGGGGCAAAGGTCCCCCCATAGTCCCATAAGTCTGAGTATAACCTTTCGCCACCAATCTTTCTTTGTATCGTTCAATGGTGCCATCTGGGATATTTCATCGCTTGAGTCCACTTGGGATCTTTCAAAGCTTCATGCACATTACTTGGAATAGATACAATGGATAATTGACATACAAATGATGCACATGACAGAGACAACTTATGTAGGGACACATGATTAGCAATAGGGTATTTAACTTTTGTTTTTGGGTCTAGGTCATACTGTTGTCTAGCAATCCCTCTAGTGGTATGAGGAGGTAACTGATAACCTGTGTTTCTTGTATGACTCGACTCGGATAAAGTGCTTAAGTTGGAGTTTAATTGTTCGGTTACCTGCAGGGAATCTTTAGGACCTGATTGGATGATTGGTGATGGTACTGTAGTAGGAGGGAAATTATCTGAACCATTATCTGAAGTTTCTAGTAACTCTTGATCTTGTTGCATCACTGTAGCTGGTTACTCGGACACTAACTACTCTAAAACATTTTGTTGAATTTGGATGATCTGAGTATCTACTGCAAAGATAGAGCTCTCCCCCTGTAGATGATGCTCAAAAACTCCCCCTGATTAATAAAACTCACTTTTGTGGAGACTCACATCTGCGGTAACATGCATGGTCTGAGTGGGAGAATGGAAACACTTACAGCCCTTATGAGTGTCCCCATACCCCACAAAGACATAACACAGTGCACATGGATCAAGCTTGCCACGTTGATGTGGATACACTTGAACATAAGCAACACAGCCAAAGAGACGTGGTTCGAGATTTGATGTGGATGGCATGGTGAGGAGAGTGGTCAATGTCTGAAATGGAGTTTGATACTGAAGAGTGCTGGATGGTGTTCTATTAATGAGGTAAGTAGCAGAACAAAGAGCCTCTTCCTAAAAATAATGAGGCATACGGGCCTCAAATAAAGAGGCACGAACAACTTCCAAGAGATGTCGACTCTTACGCTCTGCGACACCATTATGTTGTGGTGTATAGGCACATGTGGTTTGATGAACAATACAATGCTGACTTAAAAAATTATGTAGGTCATGGTTGACGTACTCTCCTCCATTATCAAACCGAATTGTAGTGATTTCTTGTCAAACTGAGTAGCAACATATTGATAAAATAACTTGAATTTGGCGGTGACTTCACTTTTCTGCTTTAAGGGAAAAACCCAGGTCATTCAGGTGCAATCATCAATAAACGTCACAAACCACTTAAAACCACTAATAGTGGGAACTCGTGATGGTCCCCAAACATCAAAATGGACAATCATGAAAGGTAGAGAACTTTTATTCAATCTTAATGGATAAGAAATACAATGGTTTTTTGCCAAAATGCAAGTTTCACAACGAAAGTCTGATTCAGCAAACTAGGAAAACAAATATGGAAATAAAAGTTTTAGATAACCGAAAGAAGCATGCCCTAATCGTCTATGCCATAGCCAAATTTTCTTCATCTTGATAGACTCATCTCCTCTCACATGGTGTGCGTTACTCAATCTCTTACTGTTGTCGTCTGTCAAGTCCAGATAATACAACTCTCCCCTCCTAGTACCACATCCAATCACGGCCCTGGTGAGAAGATCCTGAAATAGACAATACGATGGCCAAAAACACACGATACAATTAAGGGAATCAATGATTTGAGGAACAGATAACAAGTCATTGTCGAGTGACGGGACAACTAAGACATGATGAAGACTTAATGAGGATGTAAGAGATAAAGACCCTTCTCCCATAACTTGGGAGGTGGTTTAATTGACACTAGTAATATGTGTTCGGCTTGATGGTTTGGTAGAGTGCAACCCAGTAAAACTAGATGTCATGTGATCAATAGCGCCAATGTCAATAATCCATGATCTATTATAAGTAAAAGAAGATGTGCAAGAGGTACCTGAGGTGGCCAAGGCCTTGGAGCCAGATGTACCTGATGGAGGTTGTAATGCAGTCTCCTCGGATGACTGAGCGGATGCAAATAAGGCTATGGTCGAATCCTTTTTTCGCCCTTTGTGGACCCATCCTTATGGATAACCAAAGATCTCATAACAGCCCTTAATTGTGTGGTTATCTAAACCACATTTGGTACACTTCATTGGAGGCCGGTTATGAGTAAGGTTGACACTGTAGTTGTTCGGCCGAGATTGTTTGGACCTGGCAGCAGCCAAGGCTGTGGCTTCGGAGGTTTCACCAGCTTCAGACATGGTTCCCTGTCGGTTACTCTCTTGTTTAATATGTGCATATGCTGCCTCAAGTTCGGGCTTAGGCTCCATCATCAAAATCTCTCCTCGGATTTGATCGAAATTATTGTCCAAACTGGCAAGAAATATATAAACTCGGAGACGATCAACCTCCTTGCGTCTAGTCTCAACATCTTTCGGATGCTCCATGGTGCTTGGACTTAATTGATCAAGCTCTTGAAAAATCTCAGTGAGCTCACTGTAATATTTGGCAACTGATGCACCAGCCTGCTTCATTACGAATGACCGTCTGTGAAGGTTATAAATCTTGGCTTCATCAGCACCATCTGAATAGGCTTGATTGCAGCCTAGACTTGCTTTGCTGTGTCATAATGAATAAATTTTTTAATCTGATTAGGTTGGCAATCCGATGCACGCCATTTATTAAATGTGGGATCTGAGTCTGCAGGCTGGGCAATATCACTGGTCAAGTGGCCATGTTTTTCTCGCCTAGCTATCTTCATCTCTATGATTTGATGCCATAGAGAATAATTATTCTCATCCAGTTTGATTCATGCGGAGAAGCTGGAGGTGTCACTCTACAAAGTGACGATTTGTGTGGTAGTTTTGGAGCCTCCTGACATCAAGGATTGATTGGTGTTTGCTGACCCATCATTGTTGGCCATGATATTGGCTTACACGTGAAGGTTGTAGATGGAATATAGGCTGGTTTGACAAACTGATTTGATGAAGGTGGACAAACGGATTTGACTGAGGGAAACGTTTGAATTGCAACAAGACAAACTGATTTGCAATAAGAAATAGAGGTTGAGGGGGGACAAAAAGGCAAGGGAACGCTTTGAGTGATTTGCTGGTGTTGGGTTTGTTGACGGCTGCTGTTTGCGGAAGCGATTGCTAGGGTTAAGTCAAGAGACAATCATGATCGACTGCTCTGATACCATCTCAGATTGGGTAAAAAATAACACTTCATTGATATTGATGTATAACAATGGGAAGGTTATATATACAGAGCCTAGGAAACTATTCTAGGAAAGTAATTATGAGCCTATAATCT